GTGTCCCCAGGGGTGGAGTTCTGAGCTTCGGGGCTCTGACTTGTACAACACTCTCATCAGAAGACTTTGTGTAAATAAGGATTTTTTTTTTTTTTGCTTCTCTTCTACAAATAAATTAAGAAACAACCTAGAAAATCGCAGCCCCTGGGTTGAGGGTATACTCTGTCCCTGCAGGGCCAAAAGGGTCCACAGCGTCCTCAGATCTCAGAACAGTCCAGGCCCAGGCTGGGAGCAGGAGGGAGGTCATGACCTCTTGGCAGGCTCAGTCCTGCAGCTGCCCCAAACAGCCAGACTGTCGCTGGGGCTCGTCCAGGCCCGGGTGCTGGCTGGGAGGGGAGATGTCTGGCTGGTCTTGGCATGGTGAAGGGCTGCTGTGGGGCCTCTCAGGGGAGGGGCTGGCCAAGTAGGCATTCACCAGCTGCATGATCTCTTCCACCTAAGAGAGGGAGGAGGGCAGGGGGCCACCAGGCCCTTTGGTCCCATTTCCTACAGGCTCAGAAACTCCAGGTTCCTGGCCAGGACCCTCCGTGACCGGACCCCTGCAGCCTCCCCCTCTCCACAAAGTGCCGCTCACACTGGCTGCTCCTCTGCCCCTCTCCGCTGCCAAGTCTATTCCCATCTCTGGACCTCCACCTGGAATGCTCCTCTCCAGATCTGAAGGGTCACCTCCTGACTGTCCTCCCTCAAGCCCCGGCCACTCCAGCCCCGTCCTGGCTGGCTGTTCTTCTCTCTGGGGTACTGCCCCTGATCTGAAATGTGGCCCCGGATGACTTGGTGCTTGTCTGGCTCTCCCACTCCCATGTAGGCTCCCTGGTGTCTCAGCACGGCTGGGCCAGGCCCATGCTCAGTCTTCCAGAAATGTTTCTTGACCTGCCTTCCCTTCCCTTGGCCCACCCCCGCTCCACCCCCCACCCCCGCCAGCTCCCACTCACCTGGGGACTCTGCAGGACAAGCTGGCTCTCTCCCACCCTCAACACCATGGTATGGGGTCCGGTTAGCTGGCAGGCGGCCACATGGCCATAGCTGACACTGTGGATGGGCTCTGTCTCTCCTGGGCGGGAGAGGGACATGGACTTGGCGCCCAGGCCCAGGCATAACTTCTGTGGAGGGCCTCCACCAGGCTCCTGGGGGCATAGAGAGAGTCAGGGGGGGGCGGTGGAGGAGAGAGAGGACACTGCCATTGGGTTTGGTGAGAGAGGTTCTGTGAGCACCTGGTTCCCCCACTAGCCCCACAGCGAGAGCCTGCAAGGAGTCACAAGGCACCCGAGAGGTGAGGGGCCCCATGGGGACCGCAGTAGGTGGAGCTTCGAGGTTCTGCTGGGGTGGGCAGTGTGACCCATGGTGGGGGCCTGCGGCGCGGGGGCAAAGATCCCGTGGGGCTTGGGCCGCCAGAGTCCCCCTTCTCCCTTCTCCCCCTCACCGTGCTCAGCTCCAGAACGTCATACCGAGCAGCGCCGAACCCCGGACACTGCGCTGCCAGAGCCAGGTAGGCAGCCATGGCCTCCGCTCGGCCCATTCCCCGAAGCCGCTTCCAGCCGCCCAGCAGGGCCGTCGCGGTGCCGGGGCCGCCACCTCCTCC